TACAGTCTCTGATTACAGTCTGATTACAGTCTCTGATTACAGTCTCTGATTACAATCTCTGATTACAGTCTCTGATTACAGTCTGATTACAGTCGGATTACAGTCTGATTACAGTCTCTGATTACAGTCTCTGATTACAGTCTGATTACAGTCGGATTACAGTCTGATTACAGTCTCTGATTACAGTCGGATTACAGTCGGATTACAGTCTCTGATTACAGTCGGATTACAGTCTCTGATTACAGTCTGATTACAGTCGGATTACAGTCTCTGATTACAGTCTCTGATTACAGTCTGATTACAGTCTCTGATTACAGTCTCTGATTACAGTCTGATTACAGTATCTGATTACAGTATCTGATTACAGTCTCTGATTACAGTCTGATTACAGTATCTGATTACAGTATCTGATTACAGTCTGATTACAGTCTGATTACAGTCTCTGATTACAGTCTGATTACAGTATCTGATTACAGTATCTGATTACAGTCTGATTACAGTCTCTGATTACAGTCTCTGATTACAGTATCTGATTACAGTATCTGATTACAGTATCTGATTACAGTCTCTGATTACAGTCTCTGATTACAGTCTCTGATTACAGTCTGGTTACAGTATCTGATTACAGTATCTGATTACAGTCTGATTACAGTCTCTGATTACAGTCTGATTACAGTCGAATTACAGTATCTGATTACAGTCTCTGATTACAGTGTGATCACAGTCTGATTACAGTCTCTGATTACAGTCTGATTACAGTTTCTGATTACAGTCTGATTACAGTCTCTGATTACAATCTGATTACAGTCTGAATACAGTCTCTGATTACAGTCTCTGATTACTGTCTGATTTGAATACAGTCTGATTACAGTCTCTGATTACAGTCTGATTACACTCACTGATTACAGTCTCTGATTACAGTCTGATTACACTCACTGATTACAGTCTCTGATTACAGTCTCTGATTACAGTCTCTGATTACAGTCTGATTACAGTCGGATTACAGTCTCTGATTACAGTCTGATTACAGTCTCTGATTACAGTCGAATTACAGTCTCTGATTACAGTCTGATTACAGTCGGATTACAGTCTCTGATTACAGTCTCTGATTACAGTCGGATTACAGTCTCTGATTACAGTCTGATTACAGTCTCTGATTACAGTCTCTGATTGCAGTCTCTGATTACAGTCGGATTACAGTCTCTGATTACAATCTGATTACAGTCTGATTACAGTCTCTGATTACAATCTGATTACAGTCTGAATACAGTATCTGATTACAGTATCTGATTACAGTCTGATTACAGTCTCTGATTACAGTCTGATAAGTCTCTGATCACAGTCTGATTACAGTCTCTGATTACAGTGTGATTACAGTCTCTGATTACAGTCTGATTACAGTCTCTGATTACAGTGTGATCACAGTCTGATTACAGTCTCTGATTACAGTCTCTGATTACAGTGTGATCACAGTCTCTGATTAAAGTCTGATTACAGTCTCTGATTACAGTCTCTGATTACAGTGTGATCACAGTCTGATTACAGTGTGATCACAGTCTGATTACAGTCTCTGATTACAGTCTCTGATTACAGTGTGATTACAGTCTGATTTCAGTCTCTGATTACAGTGCGATCACAGTCTGATTACAGTCTCTGATTACACTCTCTGATTACAATCTCTGATTACAGTCTCAGATTTCAGTCTGATTACAGTCGGATTGCAGTCTGATTACAGTCTCTGATTACAGTCGGATTACAGTCGGATTACAGTCTCTGATTACAGTCTGATTACAGTCTCTGATTACAGTCTGATTACAGTCGGATTACAGTCTCTGATTACAGTCTGATTACAGTCTCTGATTACAGTCGGATTACAGTCGGATTACAGTCTCTGATTACAGTCTGATTACAGTCTCTGATTACAGTCTCTGATTACAGTCTGATTACAGTATCTGATTACAGTATCTGATTACAGTCTCTGATTACAGTCTGATTACAGTATCTTATTACAGTATCTGATTACAGTATCTGATTACAGTCGGATTACAGTCTCTGATTACAGTCTGATTACAGTATCTGATTACAGTATCTGATTACAGTCTGATTACAGTCTCTGATTACAGTCTCTGATTACAGTATCTGATTACAGTATCTGATTACAATCTCTGATTACAGTCTCTAATTACAGTCTCTGATTACAGTCTGGTTACAGTATCTGATTACAGTATCTGATTACAGTCTGATTACAGTCTCTGATTACAGTCTGATTACAGTCGAATTACAGTCTCTGATTACAGTCTCTGATTACAGTGTGATCACAGACTGATTACAGTCTCTGATTACAGTCTCTGATTGCAGTCTCTGATTACAGTCTCTGATTACAATCTCTAATTACAATCTGATTACAGTCTGAATACAGTCTCTGATTACAGTCTCTGATTAATGTCTGATTTGAATACAGTCTGATAACAGTCTCTGATTACAGTCTGATTACAGTCTGATTACACTCACTGATTACAGTCTCTGATTACAGTCTCTGATTACAGTCTGATTACAGTCGGATTACAGTCTCTGATTACAGTCTGATTACAGTCTCTGATTACAGTCGAATTACAGTCTCTGATTACAGTCTCTGATTACAGTCTGATTACAGTCGGATTACAGTCTCTGATTACAGTCTCTGATTACAGTCGGATTACAGTCTCTGATTACAGTCTCTGATTACAGTCTGATTACAGTCTCTGATTACAGTCTCTGATTGCAGTCTCTGATTACAGTCGGATTACAGTCTCTGATTACAGTCTGATTACAGTCTCTGATTACAATCTGATTACAGTCTGAATACAGTATCTGATTACAGTATCTGATTACAGTCTGATTACAGTCTCTGATTACAGTCTGATAAGTCTCTGATCACAGTCTGATTACAGTCTCTGATTACAGTGTGATTACAGTCTCTGATTACAGTCTGATTACAGTCTCTGATTACAGTGTGATCACAGTCTGATTACAGTCTCTGATTACAGTCTCTAATTACAGTGTGATCACAGTCTCTGATTAAAGTCTGATTACAGTCTCTGATTACAGTCTCTGATTACAGTGTGATCACAGTCTGATTACAGTCTCTGATTACAGTGTGATCACAGTCTCTGATTACAGTCTCTGATTACAGTGTGATCACAGTCTGATTTCAGTCTCTGATTACAGTGCGATCACAGTCTGATTACAGTCTCTGGTTACAGTGTGATCACAGTCTGATTACAGTGTCTGATTACAGTATGATCACAGTCTGATTACAGTGTGATCACAGTCTGATTACAGTGTCTGATTACAGTTTGATCACAGTCTCATTACAGTGTGATCACAGTCTGATTACAGTCTCTGATTACAGTCTGATTACAGTCTCTGATTACAGTCTCTGATTACAGTCTGATTACAGTCTCTAATTACAGTCTCTGATTACAGTCTGATTACAGTCTCTGATTACAGTCTCTGATTACAGTGTGATCACAGTCTGATTTCAGTCTCTGATTACAGTGCGATCACAGTCTGATTACAGTCTCTGGTTACAGTGTGATCACAGTCTGATTACAGTGTCTGATTACAGTTTGATCACAGTCTGATTACAGTGTGATCACAGTCTGATTACAGTGTCTGATTACAGTTTGATCACAGTCTCATTACAGTGTGATCACAATCTGATTAGTCTCTGATTACAGTCTCTGATTACAGTCTGATCACAGTCTGATTACGGTCTCTGATTACAGTCTGATTACAGTCTCTGATTACAGTCTCTGATTACAGTCCGATTACAGTCTCTGATTACAGTCTCTGATTACAGTCTGATTACAGTCTCTGATTAAAGTCTGATTACAGTCTCTGATTACAGTCTCTGATTACAGTCTCTGATTAAAGTCCGATTACAGTCTCTGATTACAGTCTCTGATTACAGTCTCTGATTACAGTCTGATTACAGTCTCTGATTAAAGTCTGATTACAGTCTCTGATTACAGTCTCTGATTACAGTCCGATTACAGTCTCTGATTAAAGTCTGATTACAGTCTCTGATTACACAGGCTCAGTCTTTGGTAAGTCAGTGCTGATAATCATGCTTGTTTTGGCAGGTTTTCTTCAAGGCCAAGTCGAAGTTCTCTCCTCACCTCCTGAAATACAAGTGAGTTCTTACACTGATATTATCATCTGTCCTCCTCATCTTCATCCTCATCATCATGCCTCCTCTGGTCCGCAGGTTTCCTCTGTACCTGCTGTTCGTGGGCGTGAGTCTGCTGTTCCTGCTGGTCAATCTGACGTGTGCTCTGCTGGTGAAGACAAGCGTTGCGCCGGTAAAGACCATCGTCCTGGTGCGCGTGACCATCAACGACTCGCTCTTCGTCCTCTGCGCCGTCTCGCTCTCCGTCTGCCTCTACAAGGTGGCCAAGATGTCTCTCGCCAGCATCTACCTGGAGTCCAAGGCAAGAGGCACACCTGATCTTTAGCTTCAATCGCGGCTGATTACAGTCTCTGATTATAGTCTGATTACAGTCTCTGATTACAGTCTCTGATTACAGTCTCTGATTACAGTCTCTGATTACAGTCTCTGATTACATTCTCTGATTACAGTCTCTGATTGCAGTCTCTGATTACAGTCTGATTACAGTCTCTGATTACAGTCTCTGATTACAGTCTCTGATTACAGTCTCTGATTGCAGTGTCTGATTACAGTCTGATTACAGTCTCTGATTACAGTCTCTGATTACAGTCTGATTACAGTCTCTGATTACAGTCTCTGATTACAGTCTCCGATTACAGTCTCTGATTACAGTCTTATTACAGTCTCTGATTACAGTCTCTGATTAAAGTCTCCGATTACAGTCTCTGATTACAGTCTTATTACAGTCTCTGATTACAGTCTCTGATTAAATTCTGATTACAGTCTTATTACAGTCTCTGATTACAGTCTCTGATTACAGTCTCTGATTACAGTCTCTGATTGCAGTCTCTGATTACAGTCTCTGATTACAATCTCTGATTCCAGTCTCTGATTCCAGTCTCTGATTACAGTCTCTGATTACAGTCTCTGTTTACAGTCTCTGATTACAGTCTGATTACAGTCTCTGATTACAGTCTGATTACAGTCTCTGATTACAGTCTGATTACATTCTCTGATTACAGTCTCTGATTACAGTCTGATTACAGTCTCTGATTACAGTCTCTGATTACAGTCTCTGATTACATTCTCTGATTACAGTCTCTGATTACAGTCTCTGATTACAGTCTCTGATTGCAGTCTCTGATTACAGTCTCTGATTACAGTCTCTGATTACAGTCTCTGATTACAGTCTGATTACAGTCTCTGATTACAGTCTCTGATTGCAGTCTGCTTACAGTCTCTGATTACAGTCTCCGATTACAGTCTCTGATTACAGTCTGATTACAGTCTCTGATTACAGTCTCTGATTACAGTCTCTGATTACAGTCTGATTACAGTCTCTGATTACAATCTCTGATTACAGTCTCTGATTACAGTCCCTGATTACAGTCTGATTACAATCTCTGATTACAGTCTGATTACAGTCTCTGATTACAGTCTCTGATTACAGTCTGATAACAGTCTCTGATTACATTATCTGATTACAGTCTCTGATTACATTCTCTGATTACAATCTCTGATTACAGTCTGATTACAGTCTCTGATTACATTCTCTGATTACAATCTCTGATTACAGTCTGATTACAGTCTCTGATTACATTCTCTGATTACAGTCTCTGATTACAGTCTGATTACATTCTCTGATTACATTCTCTGATTACAGTCTCTGATTACATTCTCTGATTACAATCTCTGATTACAGTCTCTGATTACATTCTCTGATTACAGTCTCTGATTACAGTCTCTGATTACATTCTCTGATTACAATCTCTGATTACATTCTCTGATTACAGTCTCTGATTACATTCTCTGATTACAATCTCTGATTACAGTCTGATTACAGTCTCTGATTACAGTCTGATAACAGTCTCTGATTACAGTCTGATTACAGTCTCTGATTACAGTCTGATTACAGTCTGATAACAGTCTGATTACAGTCTCTAAGTACAGTCTGATAACAGTCTCTGATTACAGTCTCTGATTACAGTCTGATTACAGTCTCTGATTACAGTCTGATAACAGTCTCTGATTACAGTCTCTGATTACAGTCTGATTACAGTCTCTGATTACAGTCTGATAACAGTCTGATTACAGTCTCTGATTACAGTCTGATAACAGTCTCTGATTACAGTCTCTGATTACAGTCTCTGATTACAGTCTGATTACAGTCTCTGATTACAGTCTCTGATTACAGTCTCTGATTACAGTCTGATTACAGTCTCTGATTACAGTCTGATAACAGTCTCTGATTACAGTCTGATAACAGTCTGATTACAGTCTCTGATTACAGTCTGATTACAGTCGGATTACAGTCTCTGATTACAGTCTCTTATTACAGTCTGATTACAGTCTCGGATTACAGTCTGATTACAGTCTCTGATTACAATCTGATTACAGTCGGATTACAGTCTCTGATTACAGTCTCTGATTACAGTCTCTGATTACAGTCTCTGATTACAGTCTCTGATTACAGTCTGATTACAGTCGGATTACAGTCTCTGATTACAGTCGGATTACAGTCTCTGATTACAGTCTCTGATTACAGTCTCTGATTACAGTCTGATTACAGTCTGATTACAGTCGGATTACAGTCTCTGATTACAGTCTCTGATTACAGTCTGATTACAGTCGGATTACAGTCTCTGATTACAGTCTGATTACAGTCTCTGATTACAGTCTCTGATTACAGTCTCTGATTACAGTCTCTGATTAGTCTGATAACAGTCTCTGATTACAGTCCGATTACATTATCTGATTACAGTCTCTAATTAGTCTGATTTCAGTCTCTGATTAGTCTGATTACAGCAGGGGCGCTAGGGACGTGTCCCTACCAATATCCAGTGACACTCATATATCCCTAGCAATAATTTCGATCAAAACTTAAAATATAATTATATTGATGTCCCCGTCCCCACCAATTTCAAAATCAAACCTACGCCACTGGATTACAGTATCTGATTATAGTCTCTGATTACAGTCTAATTATAGTCTCTGATTACAGTCTAATTATAGTCTCTGATTACAGTCTGATTACATTATCTGATTACCGTCTCTAATTATTCTAATTACAGTCTCTGATTACAGTCTGATAACAGTCTGATTACAGTCTCTCATTACAGTCTGATTACAGTCTCTGATTACAGTCTGATTACAGTCGGATTACAGTCTCTGATTACAGTCTGATTACAGTCTCTGATTACAGTCTGATTATAGTCTCTGACATAAATAAATGAAAGGATTGGTGTTTTTCCTGTGTGTTGCAGGGCACGTCAGTGTGTCAGGTGACCCTGATCGGCCTCACGGTCATCCTCTTGTACGCGTCGCGGGCCTGTTATAATCTACTGGTTCTG